GATGTTGTGATTTCTATGTTTAGGTTCCAACAACATCTACTTTGCTTTCAAACGTGAAAGAAGCTTATTCACGTTATACAAAAGACAATGAACAGCAACAGAAATTAATTAAAAGTACAGATGTTGGTAATGGAAAACGAGGTCCTGATACTGAACATGAACTATTAGAAGAAAAAGAAACTCAGTTGATAAATGAACAAAAGAATTTACAAGAAGAATTGACTAAAGCGACTAATATGTTGCAGGAAGGGACCACAAGACTTGCTGCAGCTATGAAGAATAAAACATTTGATGATATAGGTACAGCCGAAGTACTGGTGACAGCTGCTAATGGTAAATTAGCTGCTTTGAAAACTCAATTAATTGAAAATAATGAAAATTTGAACCGATTAAGAAAAAAACAGAAAAAATGAATGATTGAAATAAATATATTTTGAACATTATCTTTCGTTTTTGTGAAAATACTCTAAAAATATTTTGTATAAATCTTAAAGATAGACGGAGTAAAGTAACAGGAAAGATTATAATTATGCAAACTTACTCCTATAGGAATAAATCATAAAATATCAGGACAAAATCAGGATTTTTAGTCAAAAACAGGAAAATCAGGACATTTTTAAAAAATCAGGAAAAAATCAGGAAAGTACACACGCTGCGAGGCCTGAATTCAGCTCTTTTCATTGCTCCTTCCTTTGTATACAGACATTTATATATCAATTTACGAGTTATGAGTTTAATAGTTGTCATCAGTTTAAGTTAATCTTTTTTTCTTATATATTAATTAAGTTCATCGAATGAAAATTATATAATTGAGAAATAAAGTGATAAATTGGAATACATCATCAAGAAATTTTATGATCATTGATTTTAAAACAATTTTTTAACATTTCATTGTTCATCTATACAAGAATGTCTCAATTACAATATGAGAAGTTTTCTATTATTTAAAACAGAATATGCATCACTTGCTATATTTGATTTTCAGAATCGTTACTATTTACTTCACACGAGAGAAATAGAATGAAGCTATTATTCGTCAAAAACATCCTCTTTCATTAGCTTTCTTTGATGAAATTATTGTTGATGATACTTTTGATATGTTTCTCAGTCAATTGAGTACTATATCTGTTGCAACTATTGAAAATGAAGCAAGTTTTAACACGCAAAAACAGATTATTGTTGAAATTCTTGATCATCATATTCTTTCAATTCGTATCAAAGATCCGTTCGTTCTTCATACAAATATTAATTGGTATATTCACTTTGATACCCCATTACGACCTTATACGATTAAAAGTAAAGGTAATACAAAAGACAGATGAAAATGGTATATCAAATGCAGAAGATAAAAAAATTGTGTGGAATAATCGCGCTACAGCTAATGTTGCTTTGGGGTGGGTGTGGGTGTGTTGTGGATGTGTGGGTGTGGGTGTACGTGTGTGGTGTGGGTGTGGGTGTGGGTGGGTGTGGGCGTGGCTGTGGGTGTGGCTGTGTGGGTGTGGGTGGATGGGTGTGGGTGTCGGTGTGGGTGTGTGGGGTGTGAGTGTGGGTGTGGGTGGGTGTGCGTGTGTGGTGTGGGGTGTGGGTGGGTGTGGGCGTGGCTGTGGGCGTGGCTGTGTGGGTGGGTGTGGGTGTGTGGGGTGTGAGTGTGGGTGTGGGTGGGTGTGAGTGTCTGGGTGTGGGTGTGGGATGTGGGTGTGGGTGTGGATGTGGGTGTGAGGGTGTGGGTGTGGATGTGGGTGTGAGGGTGGGTGTGGGTGTGGGTGTGGGTGTGTCTTCTTTTGTTCAAAATCCGGAGTCACATTACCAACACCCACACGCACACCCACACGCACACGCACACTAACATCCACACCCACACCCACACCCATACCCACACCCACACCCACAGCCACATCCACACCCACACACCCACACCCACACCCACACCCACACCCACAGCCACATCCACACCCACGCACCCACACCCACACCCACACCCATACCCACCCACACCCAGACACCCATACCACACACCCACACCCACACCATACACTCACATCCACACCCACGCACCCACACCCATACCCACCCACACCCAGACACCCATACCACACACCCACACCCGCCCCCACCCAAAAAAGTTGATTTTTGTCAAATTTATCGATTTTTTTTTAAATAGTGCATGTGATAGAGCATCACGTCCGCTATCGAATGCACTATAGTTTATTTTGTTTACGATGGATTTTAAGGGTTTTACAGAGGTTTTTCTGAAAACCTCTATTTAAGAAAAACGACGTCTTTCGAATAATTCAATTTTTTTGCGCATTTCAATTTGTAACGGTAAAATATATTTCTTTCTATTGTACAGAATGTTATCTTGACTTTGATTCTGTCACATCGAGAGGTATATATTTATTTTTCTTTTACGTTCGTTCTCTATGCTTCCATCGTGTTTACTTTGATCTAAAAACAGAATTCGAAGTATACGAAAGAAAGAGGTAATACGAATTTTTTAAACAAATGAGCAAAGAAAATATTCGTCAGAAAAAGAAAAGCAGAAGGCCCATTATGAGGCAAATCCGATCACAGCAGGTGAAAAACAAGAGAATGGATTCATCATCATCATCGGTAAACATAGATGATGTGGATGACTTCTTGGATATTAATTTAATTATTCACATGAAATCTTTGATTTCATCGCTGAAACAAACTTTATGTTCTGAATGTAATCATTTATGGGATGGTTCACCATCTATCAAAACAAGAAATGGATTATGCATGCATGTAGAATTTATATGCTCTAATTGTGGATGTAGAGTGTGGGTGTGGGTGTGGGTTTGGATGTGAGACAGGAGAAGATCCACACCCACACCCTCACTTAGATGAACTTGCTAATAAATTTTTGTCGTAATATCTTCAGCCACAATGAGTTCAAAGTGTCTTTTATTAGTTAAGATGACAGAAAAACACTATTACTGGATGAAAAGTCATAAAATACACTTCTAAAAAGTATTTTGCGTTTTTCTCAAAATGAGATTTTTTGTTTTTACGTTTTCGTGCGTCCCAGATTTCTCCGCCATTTTGAAAGCTAGAAAGCTCGGGTTTGTTTTAAATCATAGCTAAGGTCTGACACTACAACTTAACAGAGTCGAATTTCTCGATTTCATGATTGATGTCAGATGAGGAGAAAATATTTGAGAACTTACACCCTACTAATTTCATATCATCACGTAGAAGTTCTTTAAAGACCAAACTTCAGAAAAATTAAAAAATTGGACTTTGTTAAGTTGTAGCCCCAAGTCTTGGCTACATTTTAAAACCAGTTCGGGTTTCCTAACATTTAAAATGGCGGAGAAATCTGGGACGCACGAAGACCTATGTTTTGAACCTTAATCTTAAGCTACCTCTTGAAAGGCACAAGATTTCAAGCTGAAATTTTTACCACGCGGTGCCCAACCCAAGATACATCTACTCTGAAAGTTTCGTTAAGATTGGATGTTCTAGGGCAAAAATAAAATTTTGGATGGGGGCTGGGCCTTAAGATTGGTTAGCTGTAAGTTAACACTCGAAGGAGGCGAAGAATGACATCTTGACGAAGAAAACACATGTTTTCCTGCTATTCATCACTTGTGTAGGTTGGATTTTGAAGCAGTTCTAGATCGGCAATATGTAGAGCATTCAATTCTCTATAAAACCATATATAATAATAGGCTTCAACTCAAATGAATAAAAGGTTATAGACGTTTTTCTGAGAACTGATTGGTATGTAAAATAAAATCCTGTCAAAAAGTCAGTTTTCCGAAATCTTCTATTTATAATACAACAGATTGCATGTCTTTATTTCGAGGTGGAAAACCAAACTAAATAACATAGTTTCTAGAGCAAACTTCGCTCTATAAAATTGGCTAATGCAAATATCTTTCATGTATTGCGTCGAGTAGGTACTGATCAAAACGCAAAAATACATCCAATAAAATTCTGTGCAAACATTATCTTCGACTTTATCAAACATTTGGCTTATCCCTAATCAATGCTGAGTCAGTGAAATATTCTCATTAGATATCCAGAAAAAGCACAAAAATCTGATTTTAGCTAACCACTTTTGATTCTCACTAATGACGTTTAGGCGACTGAAAAATGAATAAACATTTTGTCTAAAGACTTTTGCAACAGGGATTAGTATTTATTTATGTTAGATGTTTAGCATTGTTCTTTTATTTTTATAACAGTTAAAATAAGTACCACTTCTCTTTCTATGTATATTTTTCTTTTTGTTTTCTATTCCTTATTATGAGAAAGAGAAATAATGTGACTTTTTTTCTTTTTGTGAACATATTAGTGGAAAAAAAATAATAGTAAAAAGAAGACTGGTACTTCGTCTTCTACTATAAGTTCTACTTTCATTATTTGTTTATTATTCTCTTTAAATAAAAATCTATATTATGAAGGGAAACTGACTATATTTCTCTTTTATCTCTTGAAGAAAAGAAATACGCAAAACTATATAGGAGCAAATGTGCATGTCGAGAAGTATAAAGAAGTATGAGGAAGTACGAAGAAGTACAGAAGTATGTCTGTTCCCCCTGCTTTTTGATGTTGCTACAGAGTGTAAACCCCCCAAATAGAACACCACTCTATATTAGAAAGCTACCCGGAAAGAAAATTTTAAAAATGTAATGGAAGGCCATGCATTTTTGCGAATTTTTTCCTAAAACTCAAAGGCTTCTGAGGTTTTAACGCTCAACAACAGAAGCTTTCTAATTTTTCCATGGGCTTTCATAGTAGAAAACCTATTTTTTGGTACTTAATCAGCGAAAAATCCTGTTAGGATATCAGAAAACACCTGTTTTTCTAGGTAAAGATTGGCCAAGAAAATTAACCCTCAATAGAGAATTATCCCCAAACGAGCGATGTGAATTTCCGTAATAGACGTCCATGCCCTTTTATTCTGGGGAGGAGAGGGTTAAACATCAGAAAAAATCAAAACATGCTGTGTATAATATCAGCATTATTGTCTGTCACTGAATTTCAGTTATTATCGTAACTGATCTACTCTTGCCTTTGCCAGTATCATTTATTAGTGCTTTATCATGATCTTTTTCTCCATCGTTAAATGATCGATTACGTGTCTCAGGGAGAAGAATAACGACACTGACCACGAATAGAGTTATTGCAGAATAGACATAAAATGTAATTTTCATATATTCATCGCCAAGAGCAGCATAGACAATGGGCGCTAAAACGGCGCCAAAACGATCAGCAAATACAAAGACAGCATTATTGAAGCCGCGTATTGATGTTGGAAAAAGTTCAGGAACATAAATCCATGAAACTGAGACTGCTCCACTAATTGTCAATTTACCCATCTGTGAAATGACAATAGTCACAATGGGATAAGTTTCCTCAATGAATGGAATCACAAGCACACATATCGATGTAACCAATGTGTAAATTATCAGTGCGTACTTTCTTCCTAGTCGTGTAGTTATAAGAAAACCAGCAGATATATAGCCAATACTTTCGACAATAACCCCAATGACTATACTCCAGTAAGGGCTGAAAGTCCTATTCATCGCACCAAGTCCGTATGAAATTTTTATGTAAAGAAGCATGGCAACAAAAGCGATTAAACTGCTAATGGTTAGCTTGCGCAATAAGTGCCCAATCGTTTT